TGTGTGTGTGTGTGTGTGTGTGTGTGTGTGTGTGTGTGTGTCACACCAATTAAAATACCACCAACAGAAAGAAAGGGAGAATTCCTCATTGTTTATTAATTTCTCTCAGAAGACGAGTATTCATTCATTCATTCATTCATTCATTCATTCATCAGAGACAATTTATAAACACCAGCAGTAACTGTGTCACTGTGACGAATCACACAGTTTGACACACACACACACACACACACACACACACACAGTGTGGAGACATCAGGTCAAAGTTATTGATAAAGATTAAATGTAAACTTTTGATTCACTCTCTGATCAGACTGAAATGTGACATGTACTCAGAGGAAATCGTGTCAGCGCCATCGATGCAGCAAAATATGTATAAACAGCTGAAGTTTGTTACCTCAGAACTTTGATCATCTGTGACTCTTTATAAAAAAACATTTCTGCAAATGAAACAAAACATGAACATTTAGGAAATCAGTCAGAACTGACGACTGTAACAGAGACAGAGAGAGAGAGTTATGACTTTGTGAGTAAACACTGTGATTTATCAGCTCCAAAATTTGTGTGTCAAGAATGAGACTGTTTAGTGTGAGATGATAAATCAGCACATTATGAGATGCTTAGTGGAGAACATGTGACACAAAGTCAATATTTGACTTTTTAAAGAAACAATTCTGAGATTCCAAGTCAACAAAATGATGATTTAAGTGTGACGACACATTTGTTCTGCATATTTTTCCTCTTCAAAGTGTGCGTCCGTAATTTACAGTCTCAAGGCAAAAATAAATAAATGAATGAATGAATGAATGAATGAATACAAATTACTTAAACTGGAATTGTTCTCTTCAGATGACCCAAGATAAATATCATAAATGAATATAATACACTTCAGAACATTTTCCAGTAAAAATAGAAAAGATAAATTTCGGAGCGGTCATGTCTCTTTAATCTGTTTTTACTCCTTCAATAAACAAAATACAGTCGTTCATTCATTTTTACTCTCCAAACATTTCATTCATTCATGTGTTTGACTTCATGTTTGACTCTGTGGAGACGAAGACAGAATTAAATATGAATGAAGAGGGACAGACAGAAGAAGTGAGGCAGACAGAGGACGGAGGAAACAGAGGATGAGAGAGTCGCAGATTCACTTCCTTCTTGTTCAGTTACATAAAACTGTCGTCGTGACGCCGCTGAAATAAACATGAGACCCAAATTACAACCAGTCGCTCTGACTTGTTAAAGATGAGCAGCGTTAAAGGATCAGACCGCCGTTTACTGCTTCAGCTTCATGTCTCTGCTGATCGCCGTCAGCTGCAGACTGACTTCCTGCAGAGAATTCGTCACATCGAACAAAGACAGATTTTATTCTGAAGGGACGCAGGATTTATTTTCTGAGCTCTCATCCAGCGACTCTGTGACACTGTTCATTTATCTGCTGTTATAAACTGAATATGTCCAAATGTGTTTAGGGACTGTTCTTTATGTATCAGGGGAGGTGTGACCCTCAAAACTGAGCCTTTGATGTTTGAAAGGTAAAAGTTGAAGATGAAATCCTGGAGTTGAAAAAGTCTCAGTTTTTCACTCTTGTCGTGCAAACGGTTTATTTTTGGACAAATTTCAAATGAGACGTAGAATAAAGTGATTTTGATGAAATATAATTATTCTAACAGACTGTGTGTCCTCCTGCAGGCGTCTTCCTGATCCCCTACCTGCTGTTTATCTTTGTCGGAGGAATCCCGATCTTCTTCCTGGAGATCGCTCTGGGACAGTTCATGAAGGCCGGCAGCATCAACGTCTGGAACATCGCTCCGCTGTTTAAAGGTGCAGTACACCATGAATAACCTCAGAACTCTGACTTGGTGTCTACATGCATCAGTAAAAAACACGCACACACAGACTCTGACATCATCTACGATGACGTCACATTTTTATCTTCAATCTGCAGCTAAGTGTCAGGAGGAAATGGTGGTGTTGTGCATTTTGTGCAACCACAGATATGTTACAGTCGTACGCTTCATACGAATCATATCAACATTTCTAAAGTGATGTAATATACGAGCTGACTTTATCGTCAGAAGGTGGAGAGAGTGACACCTCAGAGAGACGCCTGCTGAGCTGCAGACCACCGTTGAACACCAAAAGGCAACTACACTGTTTGTCATTTAGCAACTCATCGCTGTGTGTCCAGCAACGTTTTAGGCTCCACATGTGGGTGTTTGTCAGCGACCACTGTGTTTCCTGTGGGGATTGTGGGGATTTTAAACCAGTTTAGTTTTTGAGCCTAAACCTAACAAACGTTAACCACAGTGTTGTTGAGTTTCATCATATCCACTACATACAAACGTATCCAAGGTTTGCAGAAACGCACAGTGCCAACATTTTTTCTCGTGATTGTGTTTGGAGAAAAATAACACAGAAAACAAATGCACGTGCTCCAATTAAAAAAAAAAAAAAAACATCAGTTAATGTCATGTGATGTGTGTTTATAATCTGGTGGAAGGATTTTTCAGTCAAATGTGAAACAACAAAGATACGATGCGTTATAGTGGGATTTGACACCAAAGTCTGACAACTCTGACACCGTCACTGATGTCATCAGATCAGGAAACACTCCTCACACAAAAACAACAAACAGTTGGATGAAAATAAAAAAAGTTGGATGTGTTCACTTCATTTGCAGAAAAAACAAACAAACGGTTGTCCTCAAGTTCACTTTGACCTTAAACAAATCAGCTGAGAACAACAACTCACAGCTCTGAGTGGACGTTACCTCAGTTGTCTCTGTGGGACGGCGGGGAAACTGTGGGACAACAGTCCTGATATGACACGAGCCAAACTGTGGGACAGCTGAGACATTGATCAGGATCAAGATTAGAATATCTCAAAGTCAGATTAACAAAAAGTTTCAGATCAGATTATTTGTTTATGTAAAAAATTGATGTCGACTGTCTTTCTAAACAAAACCCTCGACATCCCCGTGTGAGGCCATGTTGCCGTGGCAACAGACATAACTCCATACAGTAAGCAGGGCTCAGTGAGTTTGAGTGGACACGTCAGTCTGCAAACACACATTGAGCTTTCTGTCGAGGTTTATCTGGAGGTGATAATCTGTGATCCCGCTGCCGTACGTGCCTGCACACATGGCTGGAAAACTACCAGCAACACACACACACACACACACACACACACACTGATTGCCTCATATCTCTGTTAGCTTTACACACAGTGTGTATCAGATGTGTGATCTCTACAGGTGAGCACATGACTCTTAATGGTTGTGTGATTAGCTGAGTTTACTACACAGCCCTTGTCTGACCTTAAACCTCAGGTGGAGCTGATGGAGCTGCACCTTCACATTCATACAACCTGTCAGAGAGACGAGGGAACAACACCAACAGTCAACATCCACAGCATTCGTCTGTCCTCAGAGCAGTGCAGCTGGACGGGTGGTGTTTGTCCTGAGGGTGGTGTTAGAGCACAGATCATAAACCATTTCAATCTGAGGGTTTATCCTCTGCAGAGCAGGAACACTCTCCGTCAGTCTGACTGACTGTGACTTAAGCAGCAACTCAGAAACTGACTCAGTCCACAATAAATGAACTCAGTTCAAAAAGACTTTTTCACGCCTGAAAGTTTGAACCAACGCTGCATCTTGTTTTCTTGATATGCCTCCACGCCACTGATAGCTGTGGCAGGAGGCATAATGTTTTCGGGTTGTCCGTCCGTCTCATTCTTGTGAACACGATATCTCAAGAACTCCTTGAGGGAATTTCTTTAAATATGGCACAAACATCACTGTGACCTCACAAAACATGTTTTTGGCCATAACTCAAGAATTAATTTGCTCTAACAAGATAAAATGATGCTTAAAGTGCATAAAGCAGTTAGGTGCAAATTAATTTGCATGTAGCTAACGTTAATTTAAATGATAACAGATAACACTCAGTTATAGACATGAACATGCTAAGATATATACAGTATGAACAGTATGAAACGTTCAGCAGTTAAAGTCAGCAGTGTGATTTCAAGTAAAGCTAACGGCACAATATAAACAACAACAAAAAACAGCTGGAGGAATGATATGAGTTGGCGTATGTACACCATAGATCTGTATAAATATGAATATTTTATGTGACAATATGAAACACAGTGATTTAACCAGACTGTAAATGATGACGGAGACCATCAGCTGTTAGCTGTTTGTCCCCTGACAGAGGACGTGTGGTCGAACATCATCTCAGCGTGTCATGTTGTTAAACATTTGTTTTTATGACCTGGAAACTAGAAGTTGTTTTCATACATCAACACTGTTTTCAGATATTCTGGCTCTGTGTGCACGTGGTCGCGGTCTGTCAAGGAAAAACTTTATTGTCAACCAGCGAGTACAAAGCCTGCGGCGCTGATAACGTAGGTCAGTGTGGGCACTTACTGCTGCTCATAAATTGATAAATACATATACAGTTCTGAACTAGTTCACACAATGTGGCACGTCTCATCCTCTCTGCGCACGGCGTCCTATTCTGTCTTTAATGTAATTATGACTTATAATTGATAAATTGATCAGCACAAAGTAAATATTGAGAATGTGAAAATTAATGTTACACTTAAAAAAAGCACGTGACTTTATCACATGGAAATTTCATGTAGGAACAATGAACTTTAAGGTGCTTAACGTGTGCTCTAACCTGCTGAAGGGACCTGTCACTCAGTTGCCTCACATGCTGCTGAACTGTTGTATTTTTTGACACTCTGAAAAAATCAACTGTAAGACCTGTGCCTGACGTATGAGGGGCAACATCTTCCAAAGACTTCAGACCAGTTGCACTCACTTCACTGTTAGGTCAGCATATGGAGAAAGTTGTCAGCATCCATCCTAAGTCGCCTGTAGAGGATCTACTTGACCACCAGCAACTTGCTCATGGAGGATTCAACTCTCACTACAGTGGACCAAATAGCCAGACACTGACAACAACCAAAATCAAATGCTTGTGTTCTTGATTTTAACCCTGCTTTGAAAACTATGCAAATTGTTTTAGAATGACTTCTTAAAATGAATGTGAATGGTGGTTTCATTTATTTGCATCAGAAACTTTTTAAGTGACCACCCTCAGATAGTTTTAATGAACAGGGTCTACTCAGATGAGCCTGTTTTAAATACTGGGGCACCACAAGGCTGTGTGCCATCACCACTGCTGATTTCCAGTTATACAAATGAAATGACCGCCCGCAGCAGTGATGTTAAACTGTTTAAATATGCAGATGCAGAGGCTGTGGTTGGTCCAATGGAGGCCTCCACCCCCCCAAAAATAGTCATGCTTATTACCAAAATGCAAATAACCAACCCAGCTAACAATAAAAATATGTGCTAAGTTGCTTTCCGTAACATGTTGTACATGTGTGATCATAATCATATAATCGGGAGAAATTTGGGGCTCAGTATCTTGCTCAAGGATACTTTGACATGTGGACTGGAGGAACCGGGGATCGAATAGCCGATCTTCCCATTAGTTAATAACCTGCTCTTCACATTAGTATGGGGGAGAAATAAATTGGCAAAAAGCACTGCGAACAGAGAGGATGATGCTGCAGCCAGGTCACTGACATAAATAAGAAATAAGAGAGGTCCTAGAACAGATCCTTGTGGGACTCCATATGTTACAGTGGCCCTATCATCATGCTTACACAGTGAACTGAGGATATACAGCAGTAGATGGAAAATAAACAAATATGAAGGCAGGTCCCATCTTGATTCCTCATCTATTAAAAGATGAAAGATGACCTTCCCTCTGTTCTGCCTCAGTAAACAGAGCACCTGTCCTCAAATCACCACACTGGCTTCCAGTACGCACCAGAATCGACTTTAAAGGTCTTCTGCTCGTCCATAAAGCTCTGAATGGTCTCGCTCCATTATGTATGTTAGCCACCTCGTTATGGTTAGAAAAAGGTTATGTTTTTGCTTAAATTCGTGTGTTTTGGGGTCACGCTCACGGCAGGAGAAAAAGCAGCAAGTTGCAAAAAAAGCACCCATATTGGAAGCCTTCAAAGTTGCTGGAAAAACAGTGATGACTCACTGAATCACAGCCGGTTCTGTTGTTTGTTGGTCTCGTCTGCAACATGTTGATATGATACCTATGAAATGTATAACTGTTGGTTAGTGATTTGCAGGAGCGTACAGTACCAACACTTTCTTCTGCCGATTGGACTGATGGTTCATATTAGACTATTCCTATTACATCTGATCTCATGTTGTACTCTTCCTCCTCTTCCTCAGGTCTAGGTTATGCATCCATGGTGATCGTGTTTTTCTGTAACACCTACTACATCATGGTGTTGGCCTGGGGCTTCTACTACCTGATCAAGTCCTTTAACTCCACACTCCCGTGGTCCACCTGTGACAACGAATGGAACACGCCCAACTGCATTGAGATCTTCCGTCACGAGGACTGCAAGAACGGCAGCCTCGCCAACGCCACCATCAGCAGCAACATGACCTGCGCCGAGATGGCTGATGCACGATCGCCTGTCATCGAGTTCTGGGAGTGAGTTTTGCTCTTTGTCGGTTCTTTCTGTTGAAAAAGTAAATCAAACTTGAAATTGAAGCTGAAACAGTGTTTTCACACGTCTGTAACGGTTTTATTCTCTTATGACAAATGAAAAATGATTTAGAGTATCTGCAGCATCGTTACAGACTGACTGAACATGTGACCTATGTGTCACACGTCAGTCTTCATCTCTGTGATTTTTTCAGATTATCTTTTATTGCAGCAGCAGATTAACCTCCTCCTGGTGTTAATCTCTTGAGCTCGTCTGAAATATGATGGTGTGTTTTCAGCTGGGCTGACCGACAACCTGCTGCGTTCTTCACAGCAACCAACACCCAAAACATCAACAGAGCCCACGTGGCTGCACAGAACACACACTTTCACAAGAGGAGCTTAAAACACCAGCTCCACATTGAAACATCATCTGATTCAGGGACTGTTTGTCATGTATGAGAGGGGAGGGGGTGGTGCAAACAGGGGGAGGCAGGGGGAGAATTTTTTAGGCACTGGGGAGGGACTCTTTATTTTGTCTTAGGAGGGGGCATACACATTTAAATGGTTGTACTTTATATTTATTTTACCGCAGATTTTTAGAGTCTGAGTCTGTGACTACACCAAGATTTCTGGCTGTGGTTTTAATATGCTCAAGTGAAGTTGAGCGCTGACTTTTCATCGTTCCTCCCCAGCTTCAAAACTGTGATCACAGTTTGTCTTTGTTTAGTTAAAGAAAATTGTTGCACATCCAATCGTTGATTTATTTGATGCTCTTAGTCAGAGCTTGTATTGGACCATAGTCCCCGGGGGACATGGTTGTGTAAATTTGTGCGTCGTCTACATAGTTATGGTAACATATTTTGTTATTTTCCATAGTCTGATTCAGATGTTCAACAGAAGAGGCCCCAGTATGGAGCCTTGGGGAACTCCTTGTACACTCAGACGTATAATTACGTTTAGACATAAAGTAGGCCCAGTCCTTTAAGTAGGATTCAAACCAGTTTAGTACTGTGCCAGAAAGTTCAATTGTTGGACTTAAAACGGGAGGTTTTATACAGGCCTATAAATTATCATTAATGTAATCTCAATTAATCATATCTAGATTGTTCTAGATAGAACAGTTGCTTGTTGACCGCAGTTTTCAGAGCCTGTGGAAAGACACCTGAGACAGGTCAATGAGGTGAAAATGTTCGTTAGGTGACGGAGTTCATTTGAACTCAGAGTCAAGTCAGCAGTTCTTTGTCTGACAAGGTCAGTCGATTGTAAAAGATTTAAATTAATCAAAGAGTTAATGAGTAAATGAAGGAAAAGTCCAACCTGTCTGACCCTTTTTATATCTTTGAACCATGGAGGTGCACACGTGATGGCTAAAGTGCTGCCCACTCTGGGCTTTCAATAATAGTTCATTAGATTAAAATTAAAAGGCACAGCACTGTATATTTTATGTGTAGTTACATATTCTGCAACTGTTACCTTGAACAACTACAGTGCACCTTAAGGTTTGGGAAAATGGGGACCAAGGTGGCGTTGTCGAGGAAACGCGTGCTTCATGGAGTGCAGATGATTTGTCCACTTATCTGACTCTTTACGCATTCACTTAGTGAAAATATCATACTTTGCAGTGGGAGTGACTCTAAATTGACTCTTGACAAATACTTTTCTAAAATACCGGAAGACACGTCCAAAACCAAGAAAAAATTGACCAAGATTGCTGGGAAACTTAACAGAACATTAACAGTTTTGAATATCATCCGTTTACATTTTCAGTCAGGCCTTTACCATTTGTACGTACGTATGGTCTGAGAAAGTTCTGATGTTGTTCACAGAGTACAAACAAATTCAGGTAAGAAAATTTGATAAATTGAAGATTTCTATCAAAACATTTTACGCATGGTTTAAGCACAGATTTGTGTGTTTGTACTGTTTGTGAACGAGGCCCATTGTCTTTTTGGAATAAGGGCAAAAATCAGGAATATTTATGCATGTAAATCTCGTCATTGCAATAGGAAGCAGAGGGGGAGGGGGCGCCATTTATTAAAGTGATCCACTGCCCATCAAATGTCTGAGCACGTTCCTGTTTTAAAGTGTTTAGAAATTAAAATGACTTTAAGGACAAGAAAACAAAGAAAACACCCTGATAAACTGAATGAGACTGAATGTGTTTAGAGCTTTAGAGGTGCTGGTAGGTGTGTCTTTGAACTTATGACAGAGGGGCTATCCGGGCCAGCTGTTTCCATCTGCTTCCAGTCTTTATGCTAAGCTAGTCTAACCACGTCCTGACTCCAGCTCTGTACTTAACACAAATACATCAGATAGATATCAATCTCAATATCTCAGACAATAAGGATGTCTTAATTACTAGTGAAGCTTTTCATCGACCTGATGAAACCACAGAGCTGCTGTCTGACGCTGATGATGTGCTGGTGTAAACGTCGTCCTCCTCTCTGTCTCTCTCTGTGCAGGAACAAGGTGCTGAACATTTCCTCTGGTTTGGATGAAACCGGACAGTTTAACTGGGAGCTCATGTTGTGTTTGATGGCCGTCTGGGTTATGGTTTATTTCTGCGTCTGGAAGGGCGTCAAATCCACTGGAAAGGTAACACGTACATTTAAATGTATTTTTTCATACTATTCCAGGCAGCTGTTGGTTCCCATTCAGTTCTGTGCAGCATGAAATCTGATAGCATACTCTTGGCCTCTGGTGTTATCTTCATTAATAACAATCCATGCAGAATGTGCGGCGGAAGATGGAACGAAAATCGTAACCATTAGGTGTCTCAAAATCAAAAAGGAATTTTTATCTCCAAATTCATCAAAACAAAAAAGTTTTGTCATTGTGCCAGATCACCCCTACGGCAGAGTCCCTAACCCTTAACTACATGGTCTCCTTGTGGGGACCTGATAGGATGTGAGACCCCACAATGTGAGTGCCAGGTGGGTGTCCCCATAATATACTCAATTTAAGAGTGTGTAAACATGTAATACTACAGAGTGCAGACAAGAAGCATCAGGAGAAAAAAATACAAAGCAATATAAGTATGTAAAAGAAGTAATCTGTACAAAAACAAAGCGCAATATAATAAGCAAACAATATAAAAACACAAAACAATATAATAAGTTGATTTAGAGTTAATTTGGACAGACAACCTCTAGAAGTAGGAGGGGTTTTAGTCAACCCAATACTGAGTAGTTAACTTGTGGACACCTTAGAGGAGGTGAGTCCCCACAATGTCAGTGTGTAATCAGGTCTGTGGTCCCACAACGTCATTAATACAAGTCTCTTTCCTTAATTAGAAATACATAATTACAAATACCCCCAAATATGACCAATATTTTACATATTTTTATAGTTTATTTTAATTTTGGTGTTACACTTAACATCTTTGCATGGACGGTGAAATATCAATATTATTATTAATAAGGTTAATAATAATAATAATAATGATGATGATAATAGTCAGCGTTGGGAAGGTTTAGTTCTGAAATGTTATAGATTACAGATTACTAGTTAGCCCATTGAAAATGTAATAACTCATGTAACTATTTTAACTACTTTATTAAAGTATTGTGATTTATGACATTTGATTGCTTTTCTAACAAACGTTTCAAACTGGGCAATAAAACTGAAAAATGTCTGTAAACGTTCTCTGCCTAAAGAAGTCGTTCCTGCAGAGTGAAAAGATGCAAAGCAACAAGATGAATGTTTTTATTCCACACGCAAGAATATATTCAGATGTAACCTGTCTGTAACATTCCGATCAGTAACTCTAAATTCATTACAATTATATATATATTTTAATTTGATCACATGTAATTAATTACTCCCCAACACTGATAATAATATTACTATTATTGTTAAATTAAATGATAATATCAATACGGGAGTCCCTACAATGATGGTGTGTGACAAGGTCCCCACAATGTACTAATGCAGGAGTGCACACCCTGTGGTCAGCACACACTGTCAGTCAGTGAAGTGTGCTAACAGCTGGGGTTATTACAGTCAATTACATAACACTGCTGAAGGTCAGAGGTCACCTGACAGCTGATTGATCAGATTCCAAACAGCTGCGTCGTGTCAGTAAGACGGAAAACATGAACCAAACCAAACACCTTGGCCTTTCTCTTTTCTTTTATTCATCTGTGTGTGTATTTCTCCTGTGTGTAGCAGCAGAACATAAATCCACCCTGTGTCCACAGCGCCCTGAATAAAGATAGGAAAAGAAGAAGAGCATCCGTCAGTGTCATAAGTTATTATAAAAATTTGGTCTCGTCACATATCTGCTGCAAACTGGACGTGTTTGGAGTATTTAGAAAGGAGATGTGTTTGAGACAGCAGAGTCCTCCTGCATCCAGTCTTTAATAAATGTGGGACTGTTCCTTTAAATTCTCCAGAGGAGCGTAAAGAAAAGAGACTGTATAGCTCTGTGTGTGTGTGTGTGTGTGTGTGTGTGTGTGTGTGTGTGTGTGTGTGTGTGTGTGTTTCATTGGCTCGTGACGATGAGACCTGTACACACTGCTGTCACATGGCAGGCCTAAGCGTTGCCATGACAACAATGGGGGGGTGGAGAGAGTGGAGGGACAGTGAGGTGGGGGGGGGGCTGTGAGGTGGCAGATTGTGATTGGTTGTCCTGTGGGAGGGCAGCTTGACTGCAGTGGGACGTGACTGAGAGTCAAACAGAGAGAAATACCCCCGTACTGTACTGAGTGTGTACTGAGTGTGTACTGAGTGTGTACTGAGTGTGTACTGTGTGTGTACTGAGTGTGTACTGAGTGTGTATTGTGTGTGTGCTCCAGTGTCATCAGAGTAAATGAGATTCTAATAATAATAATTTTGGAGTGAATGAACACTTTGACCTCACAGTTCATTTTAAGTCCAGCGTGCTGGAACAGAACCAGAACGATAGAAGACACAAATCACTGACGGCATTAAAACTATCAGTGACGTCACGTTCAGTGCTTCATGTGAACTCTGCAGAGTTTTATTATCAAAACACACAAACATCAGATGCACACTCATACATACTCACACACAAATCATCAGACAAATAAAAGGAACAACAAGAGACTCCGCTGTTTATGACCATATGACATACCGCCAAAAGACACCACATTACAGGCGGCGCCAGTGATACGTTTTCACGGTTTCTTAAGTGGGCGTGGTCATCTCACCCCTGCACCCCTCCCCCACCTGGTATTTTGCTGCTTGTTTCTATCTGTGAGCCAAAATCAAAATACTATAATGCCTCTAATAAAATCTGTGTGAAATCAAAACTGTAGAAAACAAGAGACAAACATGGAGGTTACAGTAAATACAACATGACTACTCACATAAATATTTATTCCATCAATAACAAACTGATATAGAAAGATTAAAATAGAGTTTACTGTGCTAAATAAAATCAATCAGTAAGATAAAGCACATATAATTCAGGAAACCAGTGATTATTGATCAGTGTGATGTCATACTGTCTTTATACTGAGCGAGCTAAAAATAGCTCCAGGTTCTGTTTACTGTGATCTGGTGACTCAACCGAGCGGTCACTTACTTTTACCTCAGTAAAACAGAGACACATCGTGTTGTTATGTTTGTGCCTTCTAACAAAAATATAATCAATACAAGTGTAGAACATAAAATCAGAAAATATTTTTTCTCACCTAAAGTTTCAGTGTCACTTTAAGTCCAGAGACGAGAAGCAACTTTCAGACAATTAATTTCCTGTTTTTTCTTTTAGATATCTTTTTACAACACTGCCACCAGGTGAATTTAATCGTCATCACACGCTCTAATCAATAACGACAAAGAGCCAAAAATGGGTTTTGCTGTGTTTTTAGTTCAGCAGTGTTAAAGGGTTAAAACAAGACCTGAAATAAGGTGTTTATACATCAGTGATGGAGGCAGAGTGTGTGAGTCTAAGGTCTCTGTGGATTATTCCATGTTTCAGATGCTCTGTAGGAGAAGGACATCTTTATATTTCAGTTCAGTTCAGTTCAGTTCAGTTCAGGGAAGACGGAGCAAAAACCTGTTCTGTGAGCAAGGACGAAAGTTTTCTGAGTTCAGAGTTTAACGTGATGAAAAACAGGCTGGAAACATCGAAGCTTCAGACATGAATAAAAAGCAGAGCTGCATCACTGTAGACTGTGTTTCTACTTTTACTGTACGTAGTGTTCAGATTTTAAGAATCAGAATCAGCTTTATGGGTCAAGTAAAATAACACACACACGCACACACACACACTTTGACCTACAGTGTGTGTGTGTGCGTGTGTGTGTTCTGCTCTCACGGCTCTCAGTACCAACAGAAACAGTTTGTGTTGTCGATCATCAGCAGGAGGCTGAAAGCTGAGCGTTAGCTGGAAACCTCGTAACTCCACACTGCTTCGTTTTCACTTGAAGTCATGAATTATAATAACTTATCTCACATGTTTAAAACAACCATTTATAAAACACTATCAGTAAAAACAGAAATAAAACGCTATTAATGATATTAAACAATAAATCTCATTTACATGACGCAGTGCATGACGAAGAGAAAAAAACACATTTCAGCACATTAAAACCTCTTGTACTCCTCCCCCATTTTGTAGCAAAAACGCCTAAAATGACATACCCAAATTAAAATGACTGTAGCTTCTGAACCGCTCTGACTACATGCATGCATGAGGTCTTGTCAGAAAGAAAACTCTCTGAAGTTTCTTGTGAAAGTGTCAGAAACACTCTAGGTGATACAGAGACAGAGTTATGGGCCTCTGAAGTCAGTAACAAATTGAATATTTTGCCTAAAATAAAATAAAAAATTTGTTTCAGGATGAATAACTGTCTGTGGCTTCATCTGAGCAGGTAAATGACACTGTGGGGCTGTAGGCACACTATCATTGAACACTTGTTTCAGATTTGAAGAAGACTGCTCAAAGTATGACCATTCTACAGTGTTTTTTCCATGAAAAGATCCAGGCGGAGCTCCAAATGACAAGTTGGTCACTCTGCTTCAAAACAGTACTATCAGTGATCAAACAACACTCAGCCAGCTTCAAACATTGTACCTTATTGAAATCAGGTGTGATTATGATAGCTGATGTTGTTTATGACACAGAAACACCATAAAATATCACCAAATAAAGCCATATGAAACGTGAAAGTTATGATCCCCCTTTCTAGACGGTATATCTCAGCCAAAAATAGTGGTAGGAGTGAGACTCTTTCCTTTTATAAACCAGCTAAGTCCCCGCTAACAGCTCCACATAAGATCGCGAGTAATCCTTTAACTTTTCCCGTTGAAAAACAGCATGACATGACTTGTCACCACTCATCGTGATTTTGGACTCCGTGTGTTTAGGCTGCTCCGGTGCCAAATACATAATAAATAAAAGAAAAACAATGCTATTTTTGAAAAGTCGAGAGCTTCCTGAATCCGGCAATACCAAACATCACATGGTTTGATGTCGTAGTGCGCCTGGGAGATACCATTTAACGGGGGGGGGGGGGGGGGGGGGGCGGGGGGGGGGGGGGGGGGGGGGGGGGGGGGAGAGCAAGGATGTCTGCGTCCTGGGGGAGTTAGAGAGGTTAAAATCAGGCAAATGCATGAAGTAAAAAAAA